ATGACTGACAGAATGACTGAAGTTAGAAGATCAGCCCGACCTAGTGCTGGCACGGATGTGGAGCACTGGAACTCTCGTGCACTCCGGACGGGAACGAAAACTTGTAACCACATTGGAAAACAATCTGGCAGTTTCTTAAAAAGTTCAGCATATGCCTACCGTCATAATCCAGCCATTCCACTCCTAGGTGTTTACCCAAGAGAAAAGAAAGCACATGTCCACACAAAGACTTAAACACAGATGTTCATAGCACCTTTATATATAATAGCCCCAAACTAGATATGACCCAAGTGGCTATCAACAAGTAAATGGATAAACAAATTGTGGTATATCCAGCAATGGAACACTCCACATTAATTTAGAGAAAAGAACTATTGGTATACAGAATAGTATGGCTAAATCTCAAAATAATTATGCTGAGTGACAGAAGCCAGACACACCATACTTTTTTGTTCTGTACAAAGGAGTGCATACTGCATGATCCCATTTATATGCAGTTCTGGACAGTGCCACCCAGCTCTGTCGGTAATCTGTTTGGGACACAAAGCAGATTACCGGTTACCTTGGGAGGAGTGGCGGGAAGCATTACAAGGCACAGGAACCTCTAGGGGTGATGGGCATGTTCACTCTGGATTGTGGTGATGGCTTCCCGGTGTATACGTATGTCAAAACTCAGCAAATTTTACACTTTAAATATGGGCAGTTTATTGTATGTAAATTATACCTCAATAAAACTATTAAAAAATTAAAAATGTAAAAAGCCCATACTCTATCTGTGTAAAGCATTTCAGACTGCGTGGCATGTGACAGCTGCTCGTTGAAGCTGGCTTTTATTTTTTAGTGCTTACTGTCTCCAGGTCAAGGGCTCAGAGGGGCACGTGGCCTCAGGAAAGCGGGGCTCGTGCCCCAGAAGTGTGCACCGGACGGGCGGGGCGGCAGCAGAGCGTCGTCGGCTTGGGCTGGGTCCTGGTGCCCCCTGGCGGCCTCCCGGAGTACAGCGGGCTGCGCTCCCGGGGATCCGCGGCTCGCGCTCCTCGGGGCTGTGTCCGCCCGTCTGTCTGGCCGTGGGCAGCTCCCGCTGGCCCAGGCGCGGCTCTCCGCCAAGAGGTAAGCCTGCACCATGGAGCTGGGTTAAGAACGTGGCATGCTCTGGTTTCCTCACCCTTGTCCCTCCGCCGCCCCCACTGAGGAGGTCCATGTTGGGCGGGCATGGACAAAAGGGAAGCCTGGGTTATGCCAGCGACCCTTGGTCTTCAGAAGGCCAGCTTGGTCTTCGCATGGCCCAGGTAAGACCCTTCTCTCCACCACCCTAGCCCACCGTTGCCTCCCCGCAGCCTGGGAGCCAGCCTCCCTGCCTCCCCTCTGACCCTGTGTTCTGTTCTCCCAGGGCAGCCAGGGCAATTGTGGAGAAGCCCCAAACCCTCCACCTCCTCATCTCCTGAAAGTCCCCGTGGGCTCGGACCCTGTGGACAGACAAACCCACTCTGTGCGCCACAGGAACCCTGACGTGGCACTGGGCCAGCTGGGTGTCCACATGGAGACGAACAAGTGTGAACGACCCCCGTCACGCACAAAAATCAGTACCAGGTGGGTTGCAGGTCAGTGTGAAAAGTGAAAGAATGTGGTTTTAAGAAACCAGGCAAGGACATCTTCATGAAATCTTCATGACCTTAGGGAGGGCGGAGTTCTTTAAAAGGACAGAAAAAGTGATCACCATAAAGGAAATTGTTGATAATTTGGACCATGTTAAAATTTAAAATTTCTGTTCATCAAAAGCATCGTTAAGAGAATGAAACGGTGAGATACAGGGAGAAGATATTCAATAAAGAATTCTTATCCGGAATCCAGCCCACAAATCAACAAGAAAAAGGCAGAGAAAGTGGCAAAAGCAGCAAAGAGACAGACTTCTCCCAAAGGAAGGTGCTGATGGCCAGTAGCTTTCTTATTATTAAGGAAACGTGAATTAAAACCACAGCGTGATGGACTCACCTGGAGCCTCCAGAGCGCCTGGAGCACAGCTGATCGGAGGCGTCAGCAAACACGCGGGGCCACGGAAGTCACGCGAGTGTGTCCTGGGGGTGGAGCGAGTGCACAGCCCTCAGGAAGATTGTTGGGCAGAACCTAAAGGTGGGCGCACACACCCTGACCCAACGGCTCCAAAACTGCGTACATAGGTTTGCCAAAAGAAATGTTCTGGAATATCCAAGGCATCACTGTTTATAATACAGTTGTCCCCCCTTATCCGTGGGGGATCCGTTCCAAGATCCCCAGTGGATGCCTGAAACCGTGGATAGTACTGAACCCCAAATATACTGTTTTTTCTACGTATACATACCTGTGATAAAGTTTAATTTATAGGTTAGGCACAGTAAGAGATTAACAACAATAACTAATAACAAAGTTCGCTTTGGGGCCATTATTAAGTAAAATAAGGGTGACTTGAGCACAGCACTGCAATACTTGACAATTGATCTGATAACCGAGATGGCCACTAAGTGACTAATGAGCTGGTGGTGTCTACGGTGTGGATCCACTGGACAAAGGGGTGATTCATGTCCAGGGTGGGATGGAGCAGGACGGCGTGAGATTTCATCATGCTACTCGGAACAGTGCACAATTTAAAACTCATGAATTGTTTATTTCTGGAATTTTCCATTTAATATTTTCAGATCGCAGTTGACCTCGGGTAACTGAAACCGTGGAAAACGAAACCACGGATGAGGAGGGATGGTTGTAGCTGCAGACTGGAAAACGACCCACATCTCCATCCACAGGATGCAGAGGTGCGCACTTTCACACAGGGACCACCCTCGGCGCTGAAGCTGGCCAACACAGCCCCTCAGGCGTCCGGCTCCAAAGCATGACGAGGAGGGAAGGAGCAGACTGTAAGGTAATAGAAAACACACAGGTTGGTCTCTGCCCCAGGGTGCTGGCACAGAGCTCCTAAAACCCATGTAAATTCCTAAGTGAGAGGAGCACTCAGAGCATCTTTTGTGCTAATGAGGCGACTCTGGGTGGGCTCCTGGATGGTGCTGGTCACCAGAAAGACAGTCCATGAGTAGAAGCTTGGAAGTTTCAGCCCTGCCCCCCTTTCTCTTGAGAAGGGAGAAAAGCTGAAGATGGAGTTAATGATCCATCAAGCCTACGTGATGAAGCCGCCATCAAACTCCAACAGTGTGCCGTTCAGAGAGCTTCTGGGCGGTGAGCACGTGGAGGCACTGGGAGAGCAGCGCCCAGAGTGGGAGTGGAAGCTCCGTGCCTTTCCACATGCCTCGCCCTGCTCGTCCTTCCATCTGGACGTTCATCTGATCCTTATTGTGTCGTTAAGTAAATGTCTCCCTGAATTCTGTGAGCCGTTCTAGCAAATTAGCGAATCCAAAGTAGGAGAAGGTCATGGGGATCTCTGATTTGTAGCCAAGCCGGACGGAAGTTGTGGTCACCCAGGGACCTGCTACTTGCGATTGGCATCTGAAGTGGGGCAGACAGTGTCAGAACTGAGTTGAATTGTAGGACGCCCAGTTGGTGTCAGAGAAGTGCTTGGTAGGGGGAAACCCCACACATTTGGTGACTGGAAGTGCAGTGTTCTGTGTGAGTAGCAAAGGAGACCCATGGGAGAAACACACAGGAGGGAAAGCTGGTTTTTCCTTATACACAGAGGCAGAAAGGTCTGTAGGGTGCAATTCCACTTGCATAAAGTTCACCCCAGCCCAGGCGGCCGGAGCGGCAGAGGACGCCAGGAGGACACCAGCAAGCCGTGTCCTTCCCTGGGGTCTGGTGGTACTCCCTCGCCGTGCGTCCATTTGTGCCCTCCCTGCACAGGTTACACTGAACAGAGCTTACTGGGAATTGAAATGCCAAGCCTTGCTGTCCTCCTCCACTGTCACCCTCACAGCCTCGGCCTTTGCTGTCCCCTGCCAAGTCCTGTCCCTCTGACCCTCAGGCCTTTTAGTCCAAGGCCCCTCCTCGGAGAGGTCTCCAGCCCCTCCAGGCTGCCCCTTCTCTCCACTCTCCTTCCTTCTTATGATGTGATGCTGTCGGAAACAGTCTTATTTACCTGTTTGTTTAGACGTTTGCTCTCTGACTCTCTGCTCCCTCCTCGTTTCCTCCAACAAGGAGGCCCAAGGTGTGTGTGCCACAGTGACCTGCCCAGGGATGGGCACCAGCAGCCCCAACGTCAGGATGGCCTGGAGCATGACTAAGAGCAGGGGCTTTGGGACCCAACTCTGCCACTTACTAGCTGTGTGGCCATGCACACGGCACTCACCCTCTCTGTGCCTCACCAACCTCAGCTGTGAAAGAGGGGTCCTCCATGTGCCCCTCTCAGGATGGACACATTTTTAGAAAAGTGCTCAGGGGAAACTGGTGTGGGAGGAGCCTGCGAGGGGCCATTGTTCTCGAGGCCGAGTCACCCCTGCCTGTCTCCTCTGGGGGAGGCGTTCACCTCTAGTGGCAGCACCAGACCCCCTTTCCTGGAGGGACAGACTCTGCATTGCCACCCCCACCTTGGGCCCCGTCCACAGGAGCCTAGGTGGGAGAGATACTGGTGGGGAGAGACCCACTTTCCTCCCCTCACCCCTCCCAACCCTCTCCAGAGGCCCAGGCCCAGACCGATTCAGGGAGCCCTCCACCGAGAGCCCTCAGTGCCCCCGCTGGTCCCCCAAGCCCCAGCAGCAGGCTCAGCAGTGCTGCCAGGGGAGGGGCCAGTGAGCCCCTTGAGGTCAGATCAGGGAGGTGCAAGCCCTGCCCCGAAACGGCCTCTAGGAACATTCTGGAACTGTCAGTTTCACAGCTTGTCACTCGTAACTCCCTGTATTCCCCACAGGCCACAGGGTAAAGCCCTAAGACTTGGAAGGGGCTGGTCTGGTCTTGGGCAGCTGCCAGTAGGTGAGGCGGTGGGAGCGGCGGGGGTGAGGTTTCACAGCAGGTGGGCAGGACCCCTTTAAGAGGAAAAGGCAGCCTGAGGTCAAGAGATGGAGTGCTGAGTGGCCTTCAACTTGGGAAAGGGAGGCTGTGTGGTCCTGATTGCTGGTCAGCATTCTCTGGCTGGCGTCTGACCTGACCAGGAAGGCGTCCCTCACGTAGCTGGAGGCCCCTCAAATGCCATCTATTTGTGGCCTGGACCCTGACTGCTGGCAGGAGCCATGTGACCACAGGGACGAGGTATTTTTGGCAGTGGGGGTGGGGCCTGCGTGGGAGCCCAGCACCATGCCCCTCTGGGACAGGCAGCTCGGACGCCTAGCTCCGCTGCCCCGGCTGGCTGCGGGGTCCCAGGTACGACACGGTCAGCCCCTCGTTCCCGCCCTAAGGGCTCCCAAAGGCGGACAGCTCCCATAGGGACCTCCCCGAGGGCCAGAGAGAAGGGCAAAGTTCAGTGGGTCAGGAAGCCACGGCGCCCTGTTCTCCAGGCGTCTCATCTTAGGACTGGCCTGGCCAGAGGGACCTCCTACTTCCCTGGGTCCAGCAGTAGCTGACCAAAGGCCGAAGGGCAACCCCCATAGGGTCAGCTATGGCCACCTTGGTTCACTGAGATGGGACAGGAGGGGGCTTTGCCAGCTGGGCAGGCCAGGATCAGGGGCACAGACCCTGAGGATGGCCCTAGGGGTCCGCCGGGAGTCAGGAAGCTCGTTTCTGTTCTGTGACCTCCTGCCTAGGCAGGGGCAGAGCCAAGCTCTTCCTGATGACCCCAGAGTGGGCTCCAGTCTGCACCAGCGTGACCTTGGTGAGCTCAGAGGAAGCCCAACAGCCTGTCCCGGCCAAGGCCGCTGGAAGGTCATCACCAAAGGCTGGTCACCTGCTGGACACTGTGGCCCCTCTCCCCATGGCCAGCTGCCACTGGGGGCATGCTGCGACAGGCCAGGGCTGACCATTGCCCAGGTGAACTGACTCCCAGTGGGTGGTCCTTGAAATGGGCTTTCTGTATAAAGTTGGCCTCGGTACAAACAACTCTGGAGGAAAGTTGGAGGAGGTGAGGCTGACTCAGTGAGACAGAAATGCTCCACGATGTGAAGGAAGCTGCTTCTGGGGCCTAAATTCAACCACGAGGAGTCCCCTTTTGTAGTGTACTTCACTAATCTAAAACCTTATCTAGTAGTAGGAATGTAACAACATGTTGTTGTAAAGTTACCATTTGGGGTCGGCGGGAGGCAGGGACGGCGGGAGTTGCCTTTTCTCACTTGGAGAAGAATCAGGTCTGGAAGCAGCACAGCTTCCCTCCGGATTCCTGGCTTGCTTTCTTTCAGGACAGAGATGAAGAGCCAGCCCCGGGGCCAGGGAGGCCGGGGTGCCCCAGGGGGCGGGTGGCAGTGTGTGCTGGCCAGTGCCCGGGGCCTGGGTCCGTGAAGACAACCCGCTCTGCTGCTCAAGTGCCTCTGCTGACCCGAAATGGAAAACTTCCAGTACAGCGTCCAGCTGAGTGACCAGGATTGGGCTGAGTTCTCGGCCACTGCCGAAGAGTGTGGCCTCCTGCAGGCCGGCCTGGCCTCTGGGGACGAGCTCTTGTCGAGTGACATTGACCAAGGGGACAGCAGTGGCAGCAGTCCCCCTGGGCCCCCGCCCCTTCTCCAGGGGCAGCCGGCTTCCAGGGAGAGGGGCTGGCCTAGCCTTGAGGAGGAGGACAAAGCGGCCACTCGGCAGCTGGTCAGCAGGTCTTGGCGTGAGCCCGTCTTGGCGCTGGGGGCCGGTCAGCAGACAGCCAGCACGTCTCCAAAGTCAGACGCTCGGCTGTCCCTCAGCTCTGATGCCGCCCCTCCTGGCCAGAGCTCAGCCCTCCCAGGGCCACTGTCGTCCAGAGAGGAGATGCAGAGGCTTCTGCAAGGGCCAGCGCCCCGGGGCCCTGCCCCTGGTCCCCCTGGTGAGCCTCCTCAGAGCCCGGAGTCTCCTGGCCCCAGCGCTGCCCCTCAGAGGCCTCCTGGCAGCCCTGGAGCCCTGCCACGCAGCTCCAGCCGAAAGAAGAGGCGCCCTGCAGGTGCCAAGGGGGGCGGGCGCTCGGGTGCCCCCGGCTGTGCCCCCACCCAGCTGGGCTGCCCACTGCTCATGGAGGCCAGGCCCGATGAGGGACTTGGCCCAGCTGGGTCCAGGGGGAAGGGTCTCTTAGCTGGGACAGCAGAGCAGACAGCAGGGGCCAGGCAGGATAAATGGAGGCCAGAGTCTGCAGGAGCCCCTGAGCAGGCGACCAGGCAAGGGTCAGGCTTGGATCTGTCTACACCTGTCTCTACAAATGAGCCAGGGACAGACCTGCTCAGCATGAGCCCCAGAGCTGAGGTACAAACTGTGTCCACATCTGCCCAGGAGGCTCGTCCAGATGTCTCAATAGTTAAGTCAGATGTGGCTCTGTCTACACCTGCCTCCAAGCCTCAAGCTGACCCAACTCTGTCTACACCTGCCTCCAAGCCTCAAGCTGACGCAACTCTGTGTACATCTGCCTCCAAGCCTCAACCCAACACGCTTCTGTGTACACCAGCATCCAAACCTCAACTCGACATGCCTCTGTCTATACCTGCCTCCAAGCCTAGACTGGATGTGGACCTGCCTACACCAGGTCCAGTGGTCAAGCCGGAAGTGGATTCATCTACACCTGTCTCAAAGGCTATACCATGCACAGCTCTGCCTCACCTTATGTCCAAGGCCCAGTCTAATGTGGGTGTGTCTACACCTGCTCCCCTTCCCCAGGCTGAGCCTGACATAGTGGAGGTTGCCCCAGCGTCTGAGCTGGGTTTGAGCCCCACTGTGTCTCCAGCAGGGCAGCGAGAGAAGCCCAGAGGGGAGCCTTCAGCAGGTGCCCCTGGACACCACTCAGGGGAGCCTCCCGTAGGCGCCATCCAAACCCCCAAGAAGAAGAAAGTGCGATTCTCCATGGCTGTGCCCAGTCCCTCCAAGGAGCCAGGGTCAGGAGAGGCCTTGGGCCCACCCTCACCAGCCACGGCCCGGCCCTCAGCCCCGAGGGCAGCAGCTGGGGGCCGCGGGGGGCCTGGAGCCTGGGACGCCATGGCGGTTGGGCCCCGGCCCCTCCAGCCTCGAATCCTGAAGCACCTGCCTCCCCCCGTCCCCTCTGCCTTGGAGCGGCCCGAGCCCAGGAGCTGCTTTGCAGTGACCCTCCCAGAAGCCTATGAGTTCTTTTTCTGTGACACGATTGAGGAGGAGGACGAAGATAGTGAGGAGGCAGCAGAGGCTGGCCACACCCCAGCTGAAGTCCAGTGGCCAGACGTGTGCGAGTTCTTCTTCCAGGACTCGCAAGCCCAGAGGTCAGGGCACCAGGGGGGCCGCTCCCTGGCCCCACTCCCTCAAGCCAAGCCTGTGCCAGCCCCTCCTGGAGACCCCATGCCCATCTCCATCCCCGAGGCCTATGAACACTTCCTTGGGGAGGACAGGGGAGTGGGCATGCTGGGACCGGCTGCCCTTCTCCAGCTGCAGGCCACGGAGAACCCCAGGTCGGTCCCCCGTGGAGTGGGCCCTGGCACCCCACCAGAGGCCTGCCCAGCCACAGCAGAGCAGCTCAGCCTGGCGGTCAGGCAAGCAGGTATGTGTGGCATGCCCCATGGCCTGTCCAGGTCCTGGGAACACACTGTCCAGGGAGTTCAGCCAGGAGGGACAGGCCAGGACCCTGTGTCATGAGCCCGTGGGGGGGCCTTGGGGATGCTTTGAGAAGGAAGGACCAGCTTCCAGCCATCCCAGGACACAGTCCAGGTGGGGCAGCCCAGGCCAAGCATCGTGGCCACTCAGGGGTTTTGCTCTGCACTGACCATCACCTGTCTTTAGGCCTGATGGCAGCAGCGCCCTGCCCCCAGCCCCTAGCAGGACAGGTGTCGGACAGCTCCTGCTCAGGCCTTGCTCCCTGCCGAGTCAGGCAATCAATAGACTTCATCTTACGTTCCTTTTGGAAGATATTTTACAAACCAGGAAACAGTGCCCCAGAGGCAACTTGCCGAAGTCAGCCTGACTCAACTATGCCACACACCACCCTGTGTCTTGGGACAGAGGTATCATGGGGAAGATGTGACTCAGACAGCCTGTCCTGGGGCAGACGTGTCCAGGGCAGGTGTGTCCAGGGCAGCCGTGTCCCAGGACAGCTGTGTCCCGGGCAGGTGTCCTGGGGCAGGCACGTCCAGGTGGAGCAGCTGGAGCTCAGGGTGTGCTTCTCTTTCTTAGGGAAGCCCCGGGGTCCCCTCACCTCGTTCACCTTCAGCCAGAACGACATGTGCCTAGTGTTTGTGGCCTTTGCCACCTGGGCTGTGAGAACATCGGATCTGCACACCCCAGATGCCTGGAAAACAGGTTTGGGGCCCTGGGGAGGAGGGGCGGTGGTGTCCAGTCTCTCCAGCTGGGCCAGCAGGGATGAGGGAGCGTGGGGAGGCTTTCTCTCCGACCCTGCTCCTCCCACTGCTGCCCCTATTCCCTGCCAGCCTCCTCCCGCCCTCCGAGGGCTGGGCTGTTCGGGTAGAAGGTGGTGACCAGGCCGGAGTGGAACTGGCACTTAGGGGCCTGTGCTTCTCCCACAGCCTTGCTGGCCAACATTGGCACCATCTCTGCCATCCGATACTTCCGCCGGCAGGTGGGGCGGGGACGCCGCAGCCCCAGCCGCAGCCGCAGCCCCAGCCCCTAGGACCCAGGCGTGGCCCAGGAAGACGCAGGACCAGGAAACTGCCACAGGTGCTCAGGACAGGCACTGCCCTCAGGCCTTGCCCTTGACCTCTGTGTTCTACGGCGTCTTGGAAGGAGCCAGTGTCCTTGGTCCTGGCTCCCTTGGACTCTACCCAAGGCTCCAGCCAGTGGCCGAGGCTGTACTCCACACGTGGGAGGGGGAGGTTCTGGCAGGCTGGGTGGGAAGGGGCCGAGCAGGGAGTTGGTTAGTATGGTGGCCAGGTTAGCAAATCAGAAGGTAGGGTGTCCAGTGACGCGTGACTTTCAGATGTAGTATCTGAGCCGTACTTACACTAAGATAGTATTTGTGGTTTATCTGAAACCAAATTTAACAGGGCACCCTGTATTTTACTTGCTTACCTAGTTAGGGGGTGAGGGCAGGATAGGGCACTGGAAATTAGGGGGTCAAAGCAGGAGCAAGACCCCTGCTGGAGACCTAGGCAGAGGCAAGGGTGACGAGGCTGGGTGGCCTCGAGGCTGGGGGGTCCCAGGGACTCCCTGCCCTGTTTACAAGTGGGCTGGACTGGTGAGGGCTTCCTAGGCCTCTCTGCCACCTGAGCCCCAAGGGCCTGTGGCCAAGGCCTCCTTGGCTCCTGCCTGAGACAGTGAGCAGGTGCCTACAGGGACCTGTAGGAAGGAGCCCCAGAGGCCCCTGCAGGGTGGGGGTCTGTAGGGCAGAGCCTGGACAAGGTGCAGAAGCAGAAGGCAGTGGTGTCAGGTGGAGGGACTGGACCTGGGATTGTCCCGGGGCTGAGAGGAGCCAGAGATGTGGTAGGTAGGTGGGCGGGGGGCCAGCGGTGGCAGAGCAATGGGGGCGCTGGGTGGGTGAGCACGGGGTCCCCAGGACGACGGGAGACTCCAGGCTGCTGAGTGGAGAACGTGTGGACAGAGCACCAATAAATCGCCTTTTCTTTCTTGTTTAGTCTCTTGTCAGCTCCTCCCGACCAGCCCCATCCCACTCGCACAGGCCCGGAAACCCTCCTGCCTCTGCTTGTGATGTCTCAGACCTCACTGACCTCTGACCTTCATGCCCTCTGACCTCACATCCTCTGACCCTCGCTAACCTGACTTTCTCAGCCCTCTGACCTCCCACTCCTAGGTGAAGCCCCTATCACGTGCCATCCCTTATTCCTTCCCTGGGGAGCAGACTGAGGTTTGGCTCCTTCAGGCATCCCGGCCTGATCTGTGATCCTGTCGCTCGGGCCAGGGCATCCTCAGGATGAGATCCTTCTCCTGGCCCCTCCAGAGCCCAGGGAAACTCAGTGTTCTGGAGACCTCTACCCTCTGGGGCCAGAGCCTGACTCGGCACTGGATGGGGGGCTGGTCAGCCTGTGGCCCCACAAAGAAAGACTGGGCCCTGCTGCAGACCCCCTCCAGGTTGACACTGGCAGATGGTCCTGAGAAGCAGCCTGCCCCAGGGCCATCAGATCCACTGGATGAGCCCCTCCTCAGCCTCGGGCGCCCCTCGGGGCCATCGCTGGTGGGAGGGAGAAGGAGCCTTGTCCCAGATGTTGTCATAGCTCCTGGGGGGATGGCCGTCTGGTGGGGAGGGCAGAGACGCATGTGTCTTCAGGAAGCAACACCAGGAGGTAGGTCCCCCCAGAAAGAGACAGGAGCCCTCACTCACCTGGGGGAGGCAGCAGGGGGCCAGGCAAAAGTTCCCTCGCCCAGGAGGCCTGGGGACCCAACCACAAGTCTGAGAGCCGAGCCTTGGGGGAGCCCGTGAACCTGCCAAATCCCACCCCACCTTCCCTCCTGCCTCCCACTGCCCCCTCCTGCCCACTGCTCCCTGTCCTTGGTCTCCACCCACCCCATCCTCCAGTTTCCATCTCTCCCTCAGGGTCCTGGGAGGCCCCACACTGTTTCCCCTCCCCGAAGAACCCCCTGGCCAGGGTAGGGGCTGCTACTCACAAGCTCAGGGGGGTCTGGGGGCTGGGACCCCCGGCCCTTGATGGAGCCTCGGTGCCGCTGAGAGGCTTGGGACTGCAGGGGCCCCTTCTGGGAGAGTCCAGAGCTGGGCTCCGGGACAGGCACAGACACGGGGACTGAGGAGAATGGGCCCGAGGGCTCCGGGACAGGCGAGCTCTGCATCACACTGAGGAACTGCGGGGATAGTGCTGGTGACCCTGGGCCCCGTGCCGGGCCTCTGTGGAGCCGAGGGACCCCTGCCCCAAAAACCCCCTCAGCCTCTCTCATGGCCTGAGCAGGCCTCAGGCTTCAGGCACACGCTAAACCTCAGGCTGTGGCACCTCCAGCCCCTTCCGTCACCCAGCAGGGACTGACCTCATCCAGGTCCCGGACGTCTGTGATCTTGTGGTGGGAGGTGGCAGGTGGTGTGTAGGGATCAACGTAGAGTGGGGAGTGTGGTGACTCCAGAGAGGGGTCTGGGGCCTCAGGGCTGCCCTCCAGGCCCCCCCTGCTCAGCTGCAGGCAAAGGAGAGGAAGTGTTTTCCTGGAGCTGGAAGTGGCCCCAGCCCTCCCTTCTCCATGCAAGAAGGACCATGTGGGCCTGAGACAGGGGCCAAGGAGGTGGAGAGCAGGAGGGAGAGCCAGGCCCAGAGCCCGGGTCTGTGTGCTGGGCTCACCTTGGTCAGGTCCAGGTGCAGCGGGGTAGCTGGGCGGGGCCTCTCACCTCGAACCTTGCTCCTGGGTGACCGGTTGCTGCCACCTCGTCTCAGCTCTGCCCTCTGTCCGCTGCTGCCGGTGCAGCCAGGATTGGTCTGGTCCTATGGGGACCAAGGACCTTGCAGAGAATTCCCTGGGGCCCTTGCCCGCACAACCCTCTGAGGCTGCATGGAGCTCCCTCCAGTCTGCCTCCCCTCCCCTGAGGAACTAGGATCCTGCTTGGGATGGAGTGCCCCAGGGTCCCTAACACAAACTCGCCTCATGGCTCCTGTCCCTTTCCTCTGCCCATCCCCCCAGACACTCACTGGTGCAGGCTGGGCAGGGCAGCCTGTGGTGGATGGCGCTGAGTACTCAGGGAGGGAGTGGCTGGTGTGGCTGGAGGGGGGTGCGGGGCACCCTGAGTCCCAGCTGGTCCGTCCATCTGAAGAGAGAGAGCCTCGGCCGCCACCCACGACCTGGGCAGCCGTGGAGTGGGGGTGAGTGGGAGGGCAGGACCCCTCTGCCCACCTACCTGTGCCCAGACCCACCCCTCTGCCCTCCAGTTTGTATTACCACTGTCTGGGGCCTGAGCTGTGGGAGTGGCATCTCCCCTGCTGACCCCTCACCTGCGTGGGCATGCGCAACCCCAGGAAGCCCTCAGGGCCAGGCAGTGGGGGGGCCCCCTCCCGGCGGGAGACGGTCTGCAGGCAGAGCAACCAGTGGCTGTAGTCCTCGTAGCTGGCACACAGCACACGGATGGTGTTGATGAGGCGGCCTGCGCACAGACACCATGAGGGGCCTGGCGGACAGGGGTCCCCAGCGAGGACCCACTGAAGAGTTGGGCACCCTCCAGGCTCACGCCTTCCCTCCCAGCCCCACCTCAGCCCACCTTCGATCAGGAAAGAGCGGATCTGTTTCTCTTTCTCCTCCAGGTTGATGTGGACAGCGCTGAGCGGGAGTTCCCCCTGTGAGGAGTGGGAAGCAGTGAGGATGGGGCCTCAGTCTGGGGGGCAGCCAGGCACCAGGAAGACGCCTGCCCGGAGGGACAGGCCCCTCTCAGGGGCACCCGGGGCCAGCACAGGAGAGCCTCCCAGGAGTGGCTGTGCCCCCTGCCCCCGCCCCCGGGGGTGGTTTGGCTGGTGGCTAAGGACCCTCTGGGATGATACGGGGCACCCAGGTGGGGCCCCTCCTTGTCCACATCAGAGCTGAGACCCGATTGACCAGGGCAGCAGGCCCGGTGGGTGTGGCCGGCACACCTCTGTCCCAACAGGCCCCGAAATACAGGTTCCTCCTGGGTGGCTGCCCCCTCCCACCCCCACACATAGGGCGCCTCCCTGGGGTGGGTCCACAGTGGGGAGGACTCACCTTAAAGGAAAGCCCATCTGCTTCCTCAGAGAAAATGACCAGGGAAGTCGGGTACAGGACAAGCAGCCGGTCCCATTGCTCCTGTGGGGGGGTCAAAGGCAGAGTGGGGCCAGCCGGCCTGGCCCCCACCTGCTGCCCGCACCCGTCCCCCATCTCCTCACCCCCCTCCTCTATCTCCTCCCCCATCTCCTCACCCCTCCCCCATCTCACCCCTCCCCCATCTCCTCACTTTCCTCCTCTATTTCCTCCCTCATCTCCTCACCCCTCCCCCATCTCCTCACTCCCCTCCTCTATCTCCTCCCTCATCTCCTCACCCC